GTGAGCTGAGCCCTGCAAAATCACCCTGCGGATTATTACCTAACCACGCGGCTAGGTGCCCTGCGCAGATACGCCACTTCACCCAAATCACATTTACAGATTGCAGATCGAGGTGCTTCATGGCACGCACACGGATACTTTGGCCAGCCATGCTAGGTCTACATGACCCTAACCCTAAACCCTAAACTCTCATCAAGCAGCTTCGATGTTTCACGGGATCCTGCGGTACTGTAGACCCATACAGGAGAGCCCAAGCACAGAGACATCGAATGATGAATCCTATTGGGCACCAGACCCTTGGCCCAGTTGTTGCCAGCTCCTGAAAACGCGCAAGCAGGGTACTTGAATGAATTTGTCAGGCTTGGTACGGGGTTTCCCAACAAAAGGATTCTAGCATTTTTTTCGGGTCTATGTTGGGGTGCCCCTATTTATGGGATCTTCCATATCCAAGACTGCACAAAGCGCACCTAATACTACATGTTAGCAGAAGGTCAGTGTTGGTGGTCATGCTACTGAGGCATATTGCAGGTAATGACAAGTAAGCAGCAAATCAGCTGCAACTGCAACGATAATGTATGTGGCATGTGGTCATGGTCGTAGCACTGAAGCATTGAAACCGTATCAGGGTTCTAGTGGATTCCTCCTCCTGACAGCACCTTGATATTTCGCAGGAAGATCCCCATCCACCCTAAGCCCTGGGCTTTGTTCTTTTGTCTCCTCATATTCCTTCTGCACAACTATGGTCTCTAAGACTACCATCATTCTGTGATGCGCTTTGTCTGCCCAAACATAAAGTTGTCCAGCGTTCGGGGTTCATGAAAAGTAGAATCCAACCCCAGTTCCTGGACAGGAAAAAGGACCCTCAACACCCAAAAGCCCCCTTGTAAGGATCGCAACACACAGATGCCAATTCGTTGAACCCCTACGGCGGCTGTCCTGTCTGCCCATACAACTTCCCTGATAATTCCGACGTACCCCTAGGGTCCCTACAAATGCCCGCTTTCGTGCTGTCCTGTCTGACCAAAGACAAAGTTGTCCGGGCGGAACAGCTGGCCGAAAGGGCCGGCTCGGACGGAGTCCATGGTTCCTGGTTCAGGGTTTAGGAACACCCAACTGCAGGTTGATAACACGCATATATATATATACACAAAGGCTCCAATGTAGTTCCTTTTTGGGTCTGTTATGGTTTTTTTTTGTAAGGAATTATAATATACCACCCAAAAAGGAGCTACATTAGAGCCTTTGGGTATGTACATATGTACAGGGCTTGCGAACAAACTCAAGGGGCTCAAATTTTAAGGGTCTGTGAAGATATACCCTAAACCCTAAACCCCTAAACCCTAAACCCTAGCATATTTTTTTGGGGGGGAGGTAGGTTTAGCAGGGAGTGGTGGGATTGCTGGGGGGGCTACTTGGGGACTACGGTGCTCTCTGATTAGGAGCTTGTTCTGATTCCCTGAACCCCTCAAAGACAAATCCGAACCGCCCGTGGATGCCTGACTTTTTTTGGTTTTGGTTTGTAGGCTTTGGGCTGGGCTTGGATCCGGGGCGCCAATGCACAAACCCTAAAGAGGCCACCTTTAAGTATCCGGCTTGAAGGCCAGATGGGGTAGGCAAGTTTATCTTGGCCCGTCTTTGCCAGCTTCCAAAGGCCAGCAACCACGGCAGGCGCAGGACGCGTCCCAAACTGGACGTGTCCCTACAGCGGGGAAGACTATCGAAGGGCCAAGGGTGCCTAAAGGATTTGCACTCTAAGGCAGAAGCAAGGATCCCCATCCTCATCCCAAAGCCCTGCTTATCAGCGAATCCCAAACTTGAACTTGAAGATGTCACACGGATGGCCTGGCTCAAGATCCATCAGGACCGCACGAGGAACGTAACGTCCGCCTGTCGCCTCGTTGAAGTACACCTGGGCCGTGCTGGCTCCTACGTACTCTGAACCTATTGCAGTAGTCATAGCAACTAGTAACTCTGGGTCTTGTAATTGCACGAACAAACAACGAGTGAGCTTTGGGTTCTGCATGGTTCCAGATCTACAATTACAACAGAAGGCTTGAAGGTCTGGCTTCTTCAGATCAATCTCCCTATGTACCTGCGCTCGAAACCGTCATTGCTAAACCCTCGGATCACAAAGCTCTTGCCGTCAGCCAAGCCACATTGATACGCTCGAGCTGCAGGTCAGAATCTCCGTGATAGGTACCTGCGCAAGGGCTTTTCAAACCTGCGCACATGAGCCACAGGTGGGGCTCCTCTATCATTTTTGCACTTGATGGTGTCTGAGGGCATGATTCTACTGGCAAATCGCAAGGCTCTTTCCATAGCGCCTGTGGGATCGATGCCGTGCTCATCGGCGATCACCTCGTTGGCTTCTCTTGCAAAACATGGTGCTTGGTTAGGAGGACCCCCCACCCTGTAATAGTGACTAAAAGGGGATAATAAGGATTATATTAGGGTCCTCTTATATTCCTAATATACCACTATTACAGGGTGGGGGGTCCTCCTAAGTTTTTGGTCAGACAACTGGCTAACTGGATGCTTCAACCTTCGCCAAACGTCTGATCCTCCATCTTAAGCAACAGTAGCGATAATTGCATGAATAATAACAATAGTAACAGTAGTAGCAATAGACGTAGTAACAATATTCAGGGTTGGAACAATAAGAATATGAGTTGTAATAATATAAAATCAAAATAGCAGTAACAATGGTAATAATCATAATACTGGTAATAATAATGGTGCTACTAATAACAGTAAACTTTAATAATGATGATAATTCTAGTTCTACCAATACTAATTAATGCCAAAGCCTAAACCAATAATAGAGCCAGGCCAGGGCCTCCCAGAACTTGGCACCGATCTGGTTGCCGCCTGAAAAATTGAGGCAAAGGCTTAAAAAGCAGCTTGCAGAAATAGAGCATTTAGGGTTTAGGGATTTAGGGTTTAGGGTTTGAATCCCAAGATAGACCCCACTATACGATAATCCTGATTCTGGGGAGCAGCAATTAAGTACCCTAATTTTGGGCAACCCCCATATGTCCCGTAGTCTCCTTAGACCCATACTAAATAGCATGTTTAATACTTCCTTAGGGTTATAACTAAAATTCAGCTAGGTTCTCCAGCAGACCCTAAATGAGAAGGGTACCCTTCTTCCTACTGTTCTGTTTTAATAAGGAGACCACCGAATAAAAAGGGAAATAGGGTACTACTGCGGTACCTAGTTAAACAATACTAAGAAACTACAGTGTTGCAATTTACGAGGACCCCCCCCCACCTAATAGTGGCATAATAAGAATATAAGAGGACCCTCATAGAATCCTTATTATCCCTTATAGAATAGTCACTATTACAGGGTGGGGGGTCCACCTAAAGTGTTGTAATCAACATCCTGAAGGTGCATCTTCGAGCTCTCTTGTTCTTCCATCCAACATGGGTGTCTCTCAAAAGAGGGAGCCCTGAGAAATATCGGGGGGTTTCCCAAAATTGGGGGATACCTTTTTCGTGGGTCCCCATAACAAGGATTACAGTATTTGGGGTTCCATAAAGGGGTCCCCCTGTTTTAGAAAACTACCGTACAGAGGTATGTGGACTTCACAAGGACGAGGCCATAGTTCAGAAACTCCCACATTAGTTGATCCAAAATCCTGTTCCCACAATGGCCACCATGGACAAGAATTTCCCCTGTATTTTCCCCTTTAGACCTACAAGAACCCCAAATCATATCCCCAAAGGACCTTTGAAACCACTCCGCTATACATGCCAAGGTGCACTGGCCACCCTGCACGTGCACGAGCTCACGCATGGCTACGACAAGCGAGGCGATTGAAAGCACGAGGGCGGTTTGAGAGCTTCAGGGCGCTGCGGACATGCATCGAAAATAGTAACAACAACAGTAATAGTAGTAGTAATAGCAGCAGTAGTACTAGTACTAGGAATCGTAATAGTAACAGTAATAGTAATGGTAATAGTAATGGCAGTCGTAATAATAATAGCGATCCCTAGTACAGACCTGCAGAAGCAGGTAGCTCACATGCTTACCTTATTGAGATGTTTCATGTGAAAAAAAGTAGTCGTGGCAAAAGTAGTAGTAGTAGTAGTAGCAGCAGCAGCAGTAGTAGTAGTAATAATAGTAATTAGCTATAATATCAAGATCCGCATACGATGGTATGGCGTGCTGTAGGCCTAGAATGTGACCGCTCCCTGTCAGTCAAAGGAAGCCTGGCCTGCATATCAGAAAAGACGAATACTGTGCGACCCACCCACAAGGCGAAAACGGGACAGGATGGAGGGATGATCTTCCGAATGGACCCTTAGGCCTTTCAGGGGAATTCTAGGGACCCTCAAGGGTACCTATAGGGTATATAAGAGGTATATAAGGATCCCAGGGACACAGGTAGGCAAGCAAGAACGCATGCAAGGCCCGACAGGTTTACGCAAGGTGAGCCTTCAAGAGGTTCTTGAAAGCTTGCAAGGAGGTGAGACTTCCAAAAGCCGAGGCTCCTGATCCTGGACCATACGCTGTCAGACTTCTGCTGTATGACGCCTTGAGAACAGCCCCGGATTTTGGAATGTCTTGCATGAATTCCCCAGACTGCATCCCCTTGTCGGTTTGGTTTGCGCGCGAGGTCTTCACTTGTCTGAGCTGTTTCAGGGCACGAGCACGGGGTCTGCGCTGCGACGCATGGCGCTCATCCGTCGTACTCGCCCTCCTCCTCGTCAAACTCGCCTGCAAGGATCAGTGCATGGCTGCTACACGACAACTGGTAACGGTGGCAGGCAATCTTCTTGCTATGTGCTGCTCCAGACTGTCCACTCCCTGAGCAACTCTTTCACCATCCAACTCCCACCACCTGATGCTGCACGAGCGGCTGTGTTGTTAAGGATACTTGCAAATCCTTCACACAACCCTAAACCCCAAAACAAAATAGTAGTTTCCATTTTCTTGTCAATATTATTACTATATTGACCTACGTGAAAAGGGCTTGCTCCCACAACCCAGACTCTAGGGCTTGGTCCCGTAACCCTAAACCCTACCCTAAACCCTAAATCCTAAACCCTAAATCCTAAACCCTAAACCCTAAACCCCAAAACCCAAAACCCTAAACCCTCACCTAAACCCTAAACCCTAAACCCCAGAACCCAAAACCCTCAAACCGTCAAACCCTCAAACCCTAAAACCCTAAACCCTAAACCGCGTACTTCTGTAGCATCTTTGCTGGCCTTCCTCCTCCGCAGTGGCATCCTGCAGAGGGGAACTGGGGTGGGGTTGGGCTCAAGATTTGGGAGTTGTTATAGGGGTATATGGGGGGTATTATAGGGATAGTATAGGGACGTTATAGGGATATTCTGGGGATATTATAGGGTTTAGGGGTTTCCCAAAATTAGGAGTACCTTTTTTGGGCTCCCAATAATAGGGACTGTAGTATATTGGGGTCTATATTGGGGTCCCGGGAGTTCTTAGGGTACCATTTTGGGGGTCCCAAGAATAGGGACTATAGTATATTGGGGCCTCTATTGGGGTCCCGGGAATTCTTAGGGTACCATTTTGGGGGTCCCAATAATAAGGACTATAGTATATTGGGGTCTCTATTGGGGTCCCCTTATTTTGGGAAACTACCATTTCAAGCTGCCAGGGCACTGTCGAAGTCTAGGAATGAGGGCCGGATGATTGCTTCTTGCAAGTTGAACGCAAGGTACCCCAAACTCGAAAAATAGTAGGTCCCATGTTATTTTCCATCATCCCAGTAGAACCCCTATATAGCTTTTGGCTTTTGACTGTCGCGCTGCTTCCTACATTCGACTAAAACCTTAGCCGCTCTTGAGCACTTGACTTTGTCGCTGCAACATGGCAGCCTCCAACATACACCCTGTATCACCACCCCTTGCAAAGAGCTGTGTAAGCACCCAAAAGATATTGGCCCTGCCTGGTACTGCTGGTACTCGGACACCAGGTCGTTCATGTTCGACTCCGCCTCGGTGAACTCCATCTCATCCATGCCTGGCGCGGGATAGGAGTATGGGGTGGACGGCCAGTGGATGGCTGAGAATTGAAGATCTGCTATTCCCAGGAGACCGCTCGCTGAAAAGGCATAATGTGAGGAATCTTTCCATTTGGAGCTCTTTCCCTTGACTCTGCAGAGCCTTCGCCAGTGTACCAGTGCAGGAAGGCTTTGCGGCGGAACATGGCCGTGAAGTACTCAGCCACCCTGTCGCAGGTCGCATATGCTCAGGTATCAGATGGATTCGGCAACAGACATGTCCTGCTTCGTTGAGCGGCCCTAGAGGCAACGCAGATAGATGCCCTGAGATCCGTTTTGCAAACCCAGCGCATTGCAGGTGCCTCTTGAACATCTCCTGGATGGCGGTCGAATTTCCCGCAAATGCGACGGCCATCTTGAGACCTTCTCCGAATAAATTCAGTCTATGGCCACTCTTCCCTACTGAGAAACCATCCTGCTGATTGTGTTTTGTTCAGGCCAAGGGATCCGCAGAATGGACCTGGAAACAGCTTTTACGACCAGTAGGATGTTGGTTTTGTTTTCCTTGGGCAATGCTTTTTGGGATTATGAAGGTCTTGGGTAGCAGCTGGACTTCATTCTGAGGTTGTAGGAGGTGGTAGTGTTTGCGATGCCACAAAGAGGAGATTAACTTATTGTGGATTACATGCAACTTCTCTCTTTTCCGGGTCTAACATCATGCCAGGAATGCAAGGATTCCACGAGACGTTACGAAACTCCCGAATGGCATCCTGACCCAAACCGCTATAAATCGTCGGTGTCAACCTCATTTCCCAAAACCCCATGCCCCAACCCATCTTTCCCATACTGTAGACCCTAGACTCTAAACCCTATAGCTCCACGATACTCCACACAAGCCTCAAATAGGTAGCCATGGTGTGGTCCTAGATTCCTTGTTTCACTCTGGTGTGGGGCACCTCAGAGAAACCTCAAACTGGTCTTGGTAATTATCTATGTTGCTATAATCTCTATATCGCCCTCTGTTTTCATGTTCTGTTCCATCTGATTCTCCATTGCTGGGGTAATATCCCCTATATAAGCCCCAGTAATCTCCCAAACCCCGAACCCCACATTAGGATGCGGCCCAGGAGCCTTTGGGAGGGATGTCGCACACAGAGGCCTTGATGTTGTTGGGGATCCACTCCTTGGTTTCGGGCGTAGCCGAACAACACACACACAGGATAGCTTACACTATCTTACCCTTTAACTCTGGAGTTCACACTGTTTCTTCTTATACCTGCACATAAGCTATAGTCTAAGCTCCTAGTATCCTCCTTAGTAACCGCTACTATAATCCCCGATATAATCCCCTAGACTCTGATATCTGAGGTATGTTGATGGCGATGATTGTGCTGATAAAAACGTGGCAAGCAGTCCACTTAAAGCAAGACCCTGTAGCATGCTGAGATGCTGCTCAACTTGCATGCCAAGTTGCCACAAAGTAAGAGGAGTTCTTGTTTTGGACGTTCAACATCTGCTCATCCACCTGGAGGTATGTGAGTGGAGCAAGATGACACAGTCTTCACTCCGGTAGCTCCCCAAACATCACGCATGCCTGATCTGGAGGAGCAAAGCATGCGGATCAGCAAAAACGGCACGTTTACACTGCAGGATCTTAATGGCTAGGGCCCTCGAGGCACGGAGGGGTGCTTTGCGGTGGGAAGGAACCCAGGAAGTGAAAAGGAATGCTCATCCACCTTTTAATACGACAACTCAATAGCCTCATCAAGATGTTACTCGAATATCTGCGCCCTCAGAACTGCGCCACTCTGCCAACAGTCAGGCCTTAGATCTTAACAAAGAGGAGCATAAACTCAAATGTCTGAGAAGCACTAGAGATGATCGCCGAAGGAGCGGCTGGAACTGCAAAACAAGTACTCCAAACATTTCTTAAGGCTTCTCATCGGCAAAGGCGGCCTCCTTGGTGGACATGCGGCCGCGGAAGAGCGCCGCTGCCGTGAGGTAGCGTCCGTGGCGCGGATCTGCTGCGCACATCCTTCAAATCTGGCAACTCAAGGTCCTCTTGGGAGTCAAAGCTCACTAGCTCCTATGACAGGGCCATTATTGAAATACTATTTAAAATGATCATTTCTAATCTATATTTTGGGCCCAGGTATACATCAAAATGTAAGATATTGTTCAAGAAGAACCCAGATGATCTGTTATTTCAGAAAGAAAGAAGACATGAGGCTAGCGAGTCTAGATGTCGCCAAGCTATCCGAAATCAAAAATGTACTTGCCAGCTTGCCGGGGAGCATGTTCTTGGCATCGAACATTTGTTGCGTCAGCTCGGGAACCTAGGTCGGACAATTCAGTCTAAGATGTCTCTCCCGCGAACTAGCTGAGGCTTCCCCTTAGACCCAAACCACTCCGCAGCAGGCATGGGAGCATTGAACTATGTTGAACAAAAATGCTTGCAAACTTTGCACAGCGAACCTTGGCCCAAACAACTCCACGACAGGAGGGCTCTCCCAAGACAAGGGGCCGTCAGGGCGCGGTACTGCTGCGATCCACGGGAAGTCAGTGGTGCGAAGCCCGTCATGAAGAAGTGCAAGCCTCAAACAGTCTTGATCCTGCAATGAGCTGGCAACATCAGCAGCACATGATTTCAGCTTGAAGCTTGCCACACCTTGGGTACTTTGGGAACCTGTCTACGCTGCATGCAGTCTGGGCGGCGCGGGAAAGGCACCAGGTTCACGGCGATCTTGCGAAGATCGCAGTTCAACCTGAGCTTGCACGGGGCTGTTGAAGTGCTGTTGATGGCAGTGCCAACGCAATGCCTGGCCTCTGTAGGCAAGTCCACGTCAAAGTTCTCAAGTGCAGCTAAGAACTGTAAAGGCCAGCACTAGCTAAACTGGTGGCGTAGAGGAACTAAGGAACAACACCCCACGGCACATGGAGTATTGCTCAGTTTGAGCTCAGCAGCTGTCCCGGGAAACGGAGGCAGCAGGTCACGCCACCTTAGGCGAGTGAGGACGTCAGAATTTTGGGCCCATGCCTTGATAATTCTTGCAGTGGGTCCTTTGAATTTCTGAAGGTTCAAAATGGGACAGTCGCGTGCACCCTAACCCCTAACACCTAAACCCTATTCGTTCTCACAAGAAACTGCAGAATGTATTATTGAGCACCCTTTGATTCTCGGACAGGCTCGAAAAATTGCATCTATGAACCAATAGCCCCATATGTCATACCCCTCTATAGTACATCTCTATATAATCCTATTTCCCACCTATACATTGCTATATAAACCTACCTACACCCCTACATCACTCTATGGCCCTGCATGTCCCTTGACGCCTACCCGTATTCGGTCCCAAAAGTAAAGGGCCAAGTCGCTCATGGCCGCAGAGACCAAGTGGTTTAGATCGCCGTAGGTTGGGGTCGTCAGCTTCCTTAGGGGCGTATAGGGGTATATCGAGATATATTCCCAACAACTGAGAATCAAATAGAACAGAAAATGAAAATGACATGGAAACTGGGGGTCAACAGGAACGTTTCGCGTTTGGGGTCAACTTGTTGCTTTTATGGTGAGCAGGGAATAGAAAGCAAAATGGAAGCTACTATAGGGCTTAGAGACGAGGTGGTCACCGTTCACGTCTACACAGAGAGTGTTGAACAACAACATTCCACAGAGCTTCGTAGCCTGCTAGGATGATGCCAACCTAAATGGTGGTTACGTTTTATTGTTTCTCTTTGCATACCACTGCTGTAATCCATCTCACCCTCGTCAAAACTGCCATGTTGCTTCTGGTACTCTTGTATCCGTGCCAGTCAAAACCCGGTGCTCCCCTCCATGCCCTCTTCCTTTTCTTAAGGCTGTCTGACTCTCTTCTTCCCTCGGCTTCTTCTATGGGCTATGCTCACCTGTCATGAGGCAAGCAGGTGAACCTCTCTCTCTCTCTGGGCTTTACATGTCGCGCAGAAGCTTGGTGGGTCGCTGTGATGATCTTGAATGTGATCCTTTCTTGCGTTCTGCGCCAGATGTGGCCAAAGGCCCACTAGATTACGGCGCACGCGCTGCCTTGCAGCGAGTGCTGTTGCTCATGGTGTGTAATAAGGATGTTCTGAAGCAACCAGCCTTCTGTCCAGTTGTGTCCTCAAAGGACACATCGTGAAGGCATACTAGCATGACCTTTGTGTTCCGGGGGTTCCACTGCGGCCGAGCGACAATGTGCGGAAACAAATGTCGTAGAGCGCTTCATTATCCTCAGCAGCAACAGCATACAAGCCTAGCAACCCCCCCGTCCAGCAGCAAAGAGCTTAATGTAGACGAATAGTGAAGCACAGAATTCCTTTTCCCGGAAATGGGTCTTTCACATAATTACACTTTCGGGGCCTTTTGCGAACACCCTAAAACTATCAATTTGCTGAGTGATTGTGTTCTATCAACAAAAAACCTACCCACGCGTCCTTTCGCGGCCTTTGCTTTCCTTTAGCGGGCTGCATTGCAAGGGATAAGCTGGCCCGCAGCAAACCCCTTCGCGAACCCTTTCGTGTTCCTTTTGCGTCCACTAATTTTTTGAAGCAACATATGAATTGCCATGCATATACAATTCAGATAAGGCTTTTTGAATTACTCCGATGTGGTTTGGCTTCCATGAATACCACGCACAACACATCAGGTGGAAACGGATGCCTGGCGGCTTATGTGTCTGATGCTGCTTTACCTCCAGAAGAAGAAGAAGCCATCACATCCTGCTGGAGTCTAGAGTGCATGAAGTAGAGCTAGGTCCAACCAGTGGGCGGCAGTGCAGTGCAAACATTCTTTTCATCAGCCACCCATGCTAAAGGCACGCCACATTCCGCTACCATGCACTCCAGCATTCATGACTGGCACATGTACGGCCTGATTGGCGCGACCATGCTGTTGCAGCCAAGTAGCCAGCAGGAAAGACTCGTCGGAATTCTCCACAAGCTGGTGGAAGCTGAGGACAGCGTTGTACGGCTCCACCACAGTGTCGGACACCTATCGTACCACTGGAAAACCAATTCCAAGTCAAAGTGGCTTTGCAGTGGTCCTTCTTTGTCTGTGATTACAACACGCATAGGTGCATGATAGCTGCTTTGCAAAAGAGGTTAGATGCCCGAGTGAGTGTTGCGTCACGGAAGACTGTACCCTGAACGAACAAGTCCACAACCAACAGGACAATATGCAAGTACTCTATTGGGGTCTCCCCGTGCAAGATACTAGTGTTACTGGTGGCTAGTAGGGGATAAACCAACAAAATACTACAATGTGGCAGTTTCCATTTTCTTTTTCCGCTATCCCGAAAATGAAGCACCAATATATGTGTACATATATATATATATGTTTTTCCCTTAGTCCCTACTAACTAACCTCCAGTCAGTCTACGGATTGCGGGCGGAAGTGTCCGGCCTAAATCCCAAACTCTAAACAGCTAACCCTGAACCCTACACCCTAATATCATACTGCAACATCCCTGCCTTGGGAGACGGAATCACGGAGAACGTCTCCATGATGCGATCAGGATACCTCAGTTGTGAAAATTTTGCATTGACGCCACACCCTGAGATGATGACGCCGCACAGAAAGGAGTCACACTGGGAGTGCGTATTTCTTGCGTTGCTGCCACGCCCGCGAATGATGACGCCGGCCAAGGAACGTATCACACCGTCCTTCCCTCAAGGAGCCATGACGTAGCGGGATTTTTACCGCAGTAAAGGGCCCCCCAAACAACTAGCAACCCAAAACAAGAAGTCCCCCAATGAAGTTTGGGAAAGGTTGTTTGGAGGTGTCTCCTGGAGGAACGCAAAACGCAGGACTCCTGGCTTGTCAGTTCAAAGCATGCATTATTCCCTTTCTGCCTTACTACGTGAGGAAAGTTCGCTCTATTCATATTCATATTCCGTTTGGCCGAAAATCCGAGCTATTCCTGAAAGCACAAATGCTTAAAATCATGAGAAACTGTCATGATTCCCAATAGTAGGCCTAGCCCTCAACCCTAAACCTCGTAAGAGTCATGATATGGCCACAGTCCCTACGACCAGATTGCCATCCAGCCGCTCCTCGCGCACCTGGCTACATCATATAGGGAGTATATAAATATAGTAAATATATGTACATATATATATATGTATATATTATATACTGCCTATATATACACGCAAAAAGATGGAAGGATCATATCCTAGGGATATAGGGAATATCTATATGTACAAACATGTGCATTGAGGTATTGGTTCAGCTTTAAAGGCTTGCCCGGGCATCTTAGTCGTGTGTAGTATCTCCAAGCTGTCCTTGTTTGAGCTATAGTCTAAACTCCTATTATCCCCCTTAGCAACCCCCATAGTAGTCCCAGTCCCCTATATAATCGCCCATGTAACCCTTCTTTAAGGAGTTTAAACCCTAAACCCTACTCCCTGAACTAAACCCTAATCCCTTAACCCTATGTAATTGTCTAGTAGCCCCTTAGTAACCCAGGGTGACATTCCAGCGTCACAAGCTTGAGTCAGCACAGAGATTCCCCAAACTTGAGATCCTAACGCCTTACCCAAACTTACCGGTTGTTAGTAGGGAATATGGGAATGTATTATATAGGGGTTACATAGGGATTATATTTCGCCTTATTCCCTGCACCCAAGGTCATGGGTACTTAGCAAGTAGGTAAACAATGGAAAAGACAATGGAATCTTCTGTGTTATTCGGGGTTTAGGTTATTTGTCTTTTTTTGCAAGTTATTTGGGGTTCAGGGTTTATTTCGTGGCCTTCGAGATCAGCAGGGTTCCCATGCCGGCGCCAGTGCCGCCACCCAGAGAGTGGCAGAGCTGGAAGCCCTGAAGGCAGTCGCAGCCTGCATGGGGCCAGATGCATGGTTAACCTGCATCCATGATGCGTGAGGAGCAACAGCCAACTAGTGGACTTCTTCCCTTTGACAGCTCGAACTTCCGCGGAAGCTGCTCTTCCCGCCTTCGGCCTCCTTGCGCACGACGTCAAGCACAGAGTCAATGAGCTCTGCACCCTCAGATCTCATGCACCCTCAAAACAATAATAATAAGAGAATGTATTGGGGCTATACAAGGGCTTGCGCAACTGGGTTGCATCTAAGGAACTTAAATTTAGTTACCAGAATATGGGCATATAGTAAGGAATAGGATTACATGATTATGGTAACTTAATTTAAGTTCCTTAACAGCGACCCAGGCAAGGAAGTAGGAGCTCCGCACTGAGTTTAGAGGTGCGTTTTCCCCTTGAAAATGTTCCTTCATGGTGTCGGTCAGAACGAGCTGCACATGGTGAATGACATGGCAGCATTTGGAAGGGTCCCCATGGTCATGCCTGATCCAGAACGCAGCCATTGCGGTCTCTAGAATTCATCATTGGTTTTGACTTGTGCAACGGTTTCCTGATGCTGCAGCCTCGCTGATGCTACGTCTTCCAAGTGCTCCATTCCTCATTATAATATACTATAGTAGCATCCATTTCCAATGTTGAAGGCTACGCATGCCATGAAGGGAGCTCTCAGGTTCCAAGAGTCTGAGGAACCCTAAACCCTAAATCCTAAACTGTGAGAATCCCTCAACCCATAAGCAAGTAGGCTGAGCCCGTGGCCTCAGTGTAGTGACCTCAGCTAGATGAACGGAATGAACGGACAGCTTCCCCAAAAAACTAGATTGTGAGCCATGGGGATATATGAGGGTTTCCTAAAATTTAGAATATAATTTTGGGTGGCATGAGGGGGTCCCTGATTTAGGGAAACTACCATATTCGGCTAGTGGAGAATGCAATGGAGCAGAATATGGAACATGCAATTGGACACTGCAAATGTCGCACGTCACGCGGCTTCTGACAAGAACTATGCCATCTGGCAACGTTCACTGTGTGAGTAGCAGCCTAGACTGAGTCCATGAAACGAAGAATCTTTGTTTGGCCGGGTGCCAGGCCCTTAGCCCAGTTGTTGCCAGCTCCTGGAACCGTTTAAGCAGGTTAGTTGAATGAAGTTGTAGGCTTGATTTTAAAGACTTCGGATGTGGCACTTCATGTGTCTTGATGCTGTAATAATTTCCCGCTACCCACACACTACTCCCTAAACCCTGAATAGTGGTTTCCATTTTCTTTTCCATCATCCCTATATAACCCCTTTCTAACCGCAATACGCACTTGCTTGAAAACATGGCCAATGAATCTCCTGAAGGGGGTTGACTGGCCTTGTGGGGTTAGCTGGGAATGAAGGAGTGGACAAGAACATGGAAACCACAGGGATTATGGGGGGTTATATGGGGATTATAGGGTATATATTGGAACTATATAGCGGAATGGAAAAGAAAATGGAAACTACTATAATGGGTAATAAAGGGACTACTATAAGGGATCCATTATTCCTTCATTCCTAGCCAAGCCAAGGCCAGTTGAAGCCTTCAGGATGCACATATCAGGAATTCGGAAGGGAAGTAGCCGTACTAGTGACAATAGTCGCAACAAACACCTGAACTTCGAAGCGGAATGTACCGTTGTATGGGCTCGCGTGGTTTGCCATTGCAATTCTGAATAATCACTGTGCAGCCCCGAGTTTCTCATTTCCACCCCAATTTGAGCTATAGCGTAACCCAATACTACTCCCCTATATAACCCCCTTCAAAGAGTTTAGACCCTAAACCCTAAAAAAAAATATGCAGGGGGTTATATAACCACCTATGTAACGCTCCTTTAAGGAGTGTAGACCCTGAAGCCCAAACCCGATTTAATCCCCTAGACAATCCCCCATATCACCCCCTCTAAGGAGTTAAGACACTAAACCCGAAAACCTACATAATCCCCTATACAATCCCCTATATAACCCCCTTTTAAGGAGTTTGACTACAGCTCAATTGGTGCTTGCTGTCCTGTCTGCCCAAAGACAAAGTTGTCCGGGCGGAACAGCTGGCCGAAAGGGCCGGCTCGGACGGAGTCCATGGTTCCTGGTTCAGGGCTTAGGGTTTAGAAGTTAGGAAAACGCCGCTGTCCTTTCGGGGGAGGTTACTACCACCATGATGGAGAATCAAGAGCTGGACAATGAAATGGACATTTGGTGCTGTATATATATATGGGAGGTTGTCAAAATTCTGGCCCCTTTTTGGATCCCTATTATAATACGGCACCTAATATTTAGGGGACCCAAAAAGGGACCAGAATTTTGACAACCACCCATATATCTATATATATATATAGGTAGAAGCATGTCGGAGAGGTTGTCGGTTCCTACGGTGAGCTCAGAAGCATCTCCGCAGGCTAGAGCGGTGAGGCTGACAAGCACCAATGTGTTTTGGAGGGTCATGCACGCATTTTCTGAGCCCACATTACCCTAGGAAGAAACAAGGATCCTTTTTACAAAAATATGAGGAATCCCATACCCCAAGGTATAAAGGATCCCTAGCATTGATCCAGATTTAGCGTGTTATTTTGGAAAGTTGGAGGGGCTGCAAGGTCTAGGTTACTTTGGGGCGGGGTCCTTGCCGGGCTCCGGCTCCTAATGGTCATTTACTTACTTCAAAATCATGAGCATGAAGTACAAGAAGCCACATCGCAAATCAGAGTCACAAGCGTAGCCAGAGCACTGCTAATGACTAGTGACAACTGTCGCTTCAGTCCAGTGCAGCAGAATCTGGTGTGCCAGCTTCAATTTTATGTTCATTATAATAATCCCCAAGATTCCCATTATAGTAGGTTCCATTTCATTTTCCATTTTCTTTTCCATTTGATTCTCCACTATCGGGATATAATAATCCCCAAATGGGCTGCGAGATGAAGCAGCCAGTGGTGTGTCGAAACTAGTACAGTATATTGGGGGTAATATAGGGGGTTATATATAGGGATAATGGAAAAGAAAATGGAAACTACTATAGTATATTGGGGGTAATATAGGGGTTATATTTAGGGATAATGGAAAAGAAAATGGAAACTGCCATAGTATATTGGGGGTAATATAGGGGTTATATTTAGGGATAATGGAAAAGAAAATGGAAACTGCCATAGTATATTGGGGGTAATATAGGGGTT